CCTAAGCCCTAAACTCTAAAACCCTATAAACCCTATAAACCCCTAAAACCCTATAAACCCTAAACTCTAAAACCCTACAAACCCTACAAACCTTATAAGCCCTAAATCCTAAAACCCCAAACCCTAAAACCCAAAATCCAAAACCCTAACTCCTAAACCCTAAAAGCCCTAAAACCTCTAAGCCGAAGAGGATGACCTAAACCCTGAGCCTGAAACCCTAAACCCCAAACTCTAAGCCCCTAAAAGGTACATCGGACCCTTTAGGCATCCCTCGCCCTTTTTAAGCCGGAGAGGATGATACTCAGATCGTTGGGCCGGCGGAGTTGCAGTTGGTCCTTCTGCCTTTCCGACAGAGCACGAAAGCCTTGGCCAAGGAGCTTCGTGGTTTTGGGGTTTTAGGTTTTTCTTTTTTTTTTCAGTGTTTTGAGTTTCAGGGTTTTGGAGTTGTTTAAGGGATGTTGAGTTTTTGGGTTTTTGGGTTTTGGGTTTAGGGTTTTGGGTTTTAGGATATTGGGGGTTTCGGGTTTTAGGGTTTGGGGTTTAAGGCTTTACGGTTTTAGGGTTTGGGGTTTAGGGTTTAGGGTTTTCGGGTTTTAGGGTTTAGGATTTTAGGGTTTAGAGTTTAGGGTTTTCGGGTTTAGGGGTTTAGGGTTTAGGGTTTTTAGGCCTTAGGGTTTTAGGGCCTATGGTTTAGGGTTTAGGGTTTTGAGTTTAGGGTTCAGGGTTCAGAGTTTAGTATTTAGGGCTTAGGGTTTAGGAGACTTCTTTAGGTACTGCTATGGGAAAAAGTTTTCCCAAATCACAGTAAGGGCTCCTTATATAGAAGCCCTACATGCTACTATAGGTACTTTGGACCCTTTGGAGCCTTGGGTGATTGGAGTTTAGGATTTAGGGTTTAGGTATGGTCATTGTAGTTCCTGTTCTGGGCTGCCTTGTAGGATCCTCCACTAGTTGGTTTTAGGGTTTAGCTGTTCGGTTCTTTGTAGGTTCGGGGGTTCATGGTCGAGGGTTACGGTTAAGGTTTAGGGTTTAGGTCTTCGCGTGGTTTCACGTCTAGGGCTCTGGGGTTTAGGGTTTAGGGTCTACGGAGAAATGCAACATGGCATGGGTGTGTGTCCTTGCAGCAGCAGTCCTCTTACTAGGACATAGTGGCCCCGAAGATACCAGATGTAAGTATCAAGGCCTCAACCTTATTCCGCTCCAGCATACAACTACTTTGTTTCGCTTTTCTTCGTGGTATTTGTGACCTGTCCAAAATAGGAGTCTGAATATTTACATAATATTATTCCGCAGGATTCCTGAATAGAACTATACTATAACACACCCCCCAAAACTCTCTTCGAATTATGAAGGCCCCTTGATTATTAAGTCTTGAGGGTTTCTCGGTCTACCCGCCCAGATGTTCAAGGCTAAGGTCTTACTCAAGCCAAACCCTCAACCCCGAAACCCCCAAGATTAAAATCCCTACAATGCAAAGCCTTGAAACCCCTACAGCATGAAGCATCCCTAAACTTCGGGGCTGAGTAGGTAACCTGTAACCTTTTGGGGCGTATATAAACCTATTATGCTTCAAAAGGTTAACCTTTTTTGGGCTCAGGTACTCGGCCCCTGAGTAAACCCTAAACCCAAGCATAAATCCACGGCTTCGCGTTCGGAGCATAGAGTGCCGTGTTGTGTTGTGGGAGTAAGGGCCAGGCCTTCAGTCTGAAAGTGCGAAGGGCTACCTGCTGTCTTTTAGGGTTTAGGGTTTAGGGGGTACCCATAGGCTCCTAAGTAATTCCGTTTTATGGTTCATATTTAGAATCCTATAAGGTAACCCCAAAAAGGAACTACTAAGGAGCCTATGGGTAGAGCTACAGGATTTCGGACATGTCAGGTTTAGGCTTTCAAGGTCTCGCTCTTCTTTGCCGGGTTCGAGCAACTTTGCAGTGTGCCTGCGTCGCCCACCCAGATGATCGCAAAAGAAGCTTTATCCACTCGCGGCATTGGAACGCAGTGTAGGGCCCAAACCCTGCTTTTTTGAAGTAGTACAGGGGTCCAAAAAAATTACCTATACTATTTTGCGGTTCCGTACTATAATTCTAGTATAATATGCCCCAAAAACCTATTATTACTGGAAATTATTAAGGCCTCTACGTTACGGCCCAAACCCTGCGTCCTGAAGTAGCGGGAGCTGTGGGCAGGAGTGCTTTCGACACGCGACGAAGAACTCAGTGACTAACATGGCGCGGCCCTCGGAGTGCTTGGACCAGGTTCCCCAGTAGTACCCTTTTGCCCTTTTTCTTTGGGGGGCTGCGAAAAAAAGCCGAATATTAGGAAAAAGGGTACCCTTATCATTAAGGGGTTACTGGGAAACCTAGTGGAGCAACCACCATGAACCTTGACTCACTTCGCTGGGCTCTTGTTGAGGGATTTCATTCGAGTTACCATAACTTATCATTTACTATACATCCCTATTATGATAACTTAAATCCCTTAACAAGAACCCAGTTGATCAAGGTCTCCTTTCAAAGATCTCAATCCTCAACTGACTCAAGCCCCAGAGCACTCGAACCAGAAGCCTGAGCACGTCGTCAAGCCACTGTGATGCAGTGCATCATCATGAATGTATGTATGCCTGTATGCAGGTGCGCAATCTCTGTGTATGTGTGCGTGTGTGTACGTATGTGTGTACGTAAATAGGTAGGCAGGCAGGCAGGCAGGCAGGCAAGCAGGTAGGTAAGTAATTAGTCAGGTATTTGGGTATGTCTGTCTGTATGCATACCGATGTATGTATGTATGTATGTATGTATGCATGCATGCATGCATGCATGCATGCTTGCTTGTGTGTTGCTTGCATGCGCGCATGCGCGCATCCACGTGAGTGCTGCAAGTAAGTACTTATGTATGTATGTATGTATGTATGTATGTATGTATGTCTGTATGTATGTATGTATGTATGTATGTATGTATGTATGCAAGCAGTATGCATGTTGCATGTATGTATGTATGCATGTATGTATGTAAACATGCAATCATGAATGCATGTCTGTTTTTATTTGTATCTGTATCTGTGTTTGCGTATATATGGACGATGTACGTATGTATGTATGTACGCACGTACGTATGTAAGTAAGTCAGTATGTATGTATGTATGTATGTATGTATGTATGCATTATGCATAGATGTATGAATGAATGAATGAATGAATGAATGTATGTATGTATGTATGTATGTGTGCGTGGACAGTGCATGTATGTACGCATGCATGCATGCATGCATGCATGCATGCATGCCTGCATGTATGGGCGATGTATATGCGCTGAATACTTGCGTGCACGCGTTCATGTGTTTGTGTGTGTGTGTGTATGTGTATTGTGCTTGTGTGCGTATGTGCATATATATGTGCGCGCGCGTGTGTGTGTGTGTGTGAATGTGTCTGTATGTGCGTGTGTTTGTCTGCAACTATGGTATGTATGTGCGTGTGAGTGTGTATGTGTCTGTATGTGTCTTGCATGTGTCCTGCATGTGTTCGTGTGTTTTTATGAGTCTATCTCTGTCCGTCCGCCTGTATGCATACACGGATGTAGGTCTGTGTAGTTTGTGTTATACATGTCGTGTATGTTATGTCTATTGTGTATGCAGTTGTATGGATGAGTATATGCATGCATGTATGACTGGTTGTATGTATGTGTATGTCTGTTTAGGTGCACTGTCTGGCGTGGTTTCCTTATTGCCTTATCGTATGTATGTGTCATGTCGAATGTTTTGCAATGTACTGTAGAAAGCATATATATATACACACAGTATCAACCGTATTGCAATCAAAAACGCGTAGAGATGTACGCATATATCCATACAGTTTGCGGACAGGAGGAAAGAGAGAGCGTAACGGATAGATAGACAGATAGATCGATCGACCAAAAGAGATTTAGATAGACAGATAGGGAAACACAAAGAGGAACCAATCCAGAAAGCAAGATAGACAGACGGATAGACATATTAACGGGCATTGATTGATAGAGAGAGACGGGTACTATGTATGTATGTATGTATGTATGTATGTATGTATGTATGTATGTATGTATGTATGTATATATATATACATATGTATAGATGCACATGTCTATAGATATAGATATTGATATAGATATAGATCGATCGATAGACGGCATTACCTAGGGATTAGGACCAGGGGCTTGATTATGGTGATGTCGCTGCAGTATACCCGGGGAATGCACTCAACACAAACAACATGCGAAACAACATGTAACATACAATCATAACACAACCTGCAAAACAGAACACACGCTTGAGGATCTTTTGATCATTTCTATGTTTCCTGTTGCTTGTAGCACAGGACAGCACAACATCGCACAGCACTGCTTAGCCCAGCATAGCATTGCATTGCAAAATATCGCCCAGCATAGCACATGCTTGTAGCATGCATGCAAGTGCATAAGTGCACGCACCTACCTACCTACCTACCTACCTACCTACCTACCTATCTCCGTGCCCTGTCCTGAGTGCATGCACACACACTCCTACATACATACATTTATACAGGCATGCATTCATACATTCCTACATCCATACATATGCATGCGTGGCATACATACACACATACAAACATGTATACAGAGGAATTACACCAACATACTTTTTCCCACACATGAACTATCAACATGTGAAAATACAGAGCCCTGGTTTTCCATTGAACCAATGCCGCCCAACAGCTTAGATTGAAGCGACTTGGGGGTGGTTTGTGCAGGAGCCCTAAAACCTAAACCCTAAACCCTAAACCCCTAAACCCTAAACCCTAAACAGGAGCGGCTGTTGAACCAACCGATCGACCCGGACATACGGGACACTCGCGAGGGTGAGGCGACTCTTCTCTGCCTCTCCTGCCATCATGGAGCCTTGGGTGAGCTTAGCATAGAGAGTGGTGGGGGGGGTTTAGGGTTTAGGGGTTTGGGGTTTAGGGTTTAGGGGGGCTTAGAGCCATTTTCGTAAGCCCTTCAGCCTGTTTCCGGAACTCCAAAGCCCTACTTTTTGTGGAACCGTGAGCTTAAACCATGAAAGGGCACTTACCCTAGGGCTCCAAATAGCCCAAAGTAGGTCCTATTTATAGACTTTAAGCCCCAAAGTAGGTACCATTTGCATACTTGGAGCCCTTGGGTTAGGCTTTGACGAAATCACGCGGCTTCTGCTGGAAGCCCGGGCAGATCCGGACAAATGCCTACCTGACGGTGCAGGCACCTGTTCGTTGCTATGTGAGAAGGCTTTAGGGTTTCGGGTTTAGGGGTTTAGGGTTTAGGGGTTTAGGGTTTAGGGTTATGGTTTCATGGTTTTGAGGCGGTGGGATTTAAAGGACGTTAGTTTGTCCGGTTGCATCAGTTTTTTTTTTACAGGGTTTTGGTCTGAGTCTATGACACTCAAAGTTGGTGTAGTTTCGGCCTGAGAGTAAACCCGAAACCCTCCCCGTGCACCCCAAACCCTGACCACAGACCTTATCACAACCATATAAGCCCTGCACTGCCTAAACCCTACACCCTAAATACTATGGGCTTCAGAGATTTCGGCGCGATCTGGAAGGTTGCTCTTCGGGGCTTTCGACTTGCAGGTTCATATCCATCAGAGCTTGAGTATGGTTTAGGGTTTATAGGGCACTCAAACAGGAGAGTTTTGGGTAGGAAGCAAAGGCCCACTCAGAGGTCTAGTGCTTTTGGGACCTAGTACCCTACTGCTTGGATTCAAACAGGCTAGCTGGAAGTAGTTGGGTGTAGCATCGTCCATGCACTCCATCCGCAATTACGTTTTGCGCATCTTGACTGCAGAGGAGTAGCCGTTTGGGTAACTCTTGAATATCTCTCAAGTTTAAATCCCCGGAGAAGAAAAGGTCGGGCTAGCACAAAACCCTAGACCCCTAAACCCTCTCTGTGCCCCTGGGACCTGCAGCATATATGGCGATTGAATTTGTTCAACTGCGAGATTCGATTGCCAAATGCTCGCCGCCTCACCACGGCTAAATCCCAAACCACTATACCTCCGAACCCTCGACTGTGGCAGGAAAGAGGTTATAACAAAGCAACGCCCCAAGCCCCAACCCCTGCAAACCCCTACTGAGAAGCCCCAAACAACAGCATGAACAACCCTCCAGAGAATCCCAATAGACCAACGCCCCTGCAGTTTGAAAGGTGCTTTGTTCCTGGCCTGCCGTGGTGCCCACACAGAGGCCGTGCGACTTCTTATCGAGGCCAAAGCCTAAACCCTAAACCCGTAAACCCCTAAAACCCTAAACCCTAAACCCCTAAACCCTACCCTAAAACCCTAAACCCTAAAAGCCCTACTCCCCCTTAAACCCTAAACCCTCGACTTTTTATCGAGGCCAAAGCCACGCCGGACCTTCCGGAGCATGGCCAGGCCAGGCCCGAGCGGGTTCGTTGCCCGATCGGGTTCGTTTAGGTGTCTGAATTGGGTTTAGGGTTTAGGCTTGAGGGAGTAGGGTTTAGGGCTTAAGGTTTAGGGTTCAGGGTTTAGGTTTGAGGGATTAGGGTTTATAGGGATTAAGGTTTAGGGTTTAGGTATATATTACTTCAACCCTCAACCCTAAACCCTAAACTTCGTTGATTAGGCATATGCAAAACCCGTAGTAGGGAGCCCCAGAACGGTCGTGCTAAACTATCTAGGCCCGTATAAGTATTAGGGGTTTGGGTTCGGGGCTCTTCGAGGGGTGCTTCCTCTGAGGGCTCTTTAGGGTTTGGGCTTGGAGGTTCAAGGTCCAGGAAGGGTTTTGGGTTCATGGGAATTTAGGTGGGTTTGGGCTTCAGGGTTTCCTTATAGGGTTTAGGGTTTAGGGTTTAGGTGTTCGAGACGTTTTGGTCCTAGAGCTCTTCTCGAGATTCCATTGAAGGGTTTCCTTGTAGGGATGTATGGGGTTTTAGATGGGTTTAGGGCTCTAGGGCTTACTGCCCTGAAGGGTCCTTATAAGGGGTGCATAGGGTTGGGAGTTTAGTTCTAGAAGGGTTTAGGGTTTGGAGCTCGTGGTTTTGGAAAGGGTTCAGGGTTCAGGGTTTTAGAGGGGATTAGAGGGGAGATGTTAGGGTTTGGACTTTTTTAGACGGGCTTCAGTCGAATTTTTGTGAGGGTGTACCGGTTTTGTCTTTGTTCGGTAGGTTCCGAGAATGAAGCGATTCACCTGCAACCCTGAAGACGCACCCCTCGGCCCCGGAATGAGCTGGCCACCTGATGAGGTGCTTGTCCCTTACCCTCAAAGGACTCATATTTTAAGGCTTTTGGGCCCAAGGACCCTATTATATAGGGCCTTTGGGCTATTTTGATGCTATGGGTGTCAGTTTAAACTTCAGCGTGGAGAGTCTATATAGGCTTTTAAGGTTAAAGGTTCATGGCAGGAAATTGCTGCTTTGGTTTTGCTCCGCATCCATTTTTGCTCCTGCCCGCTCCCGCTCACGTTGGAACCTCGAGTCGTTTTTGTTGCTATCCGACCCGGCGTCCAGGGGGTTTCTGTGGATCATTCGACCTAGTACGCCAGCCGAGGGCGCCCCAAGCCCGCCGCCGTGAGAGAGCGAGCGTGTGGTGCGGCCACGGAGCAAACAAGCAAACACCACTTCCCATGCCTGCATATTTCTTCGGTGCTCAACGGCCGCCGCGAACGCTCACTCACTTGCGGCGGCGGGCTTGGGCCGCCCTCGGCCGGTGTACTACATCGGGTCGCGTGGCGGGTGACAGCAAAAACGCCCAGTGGCAGCGGGCAGCAGCAAAATGGCCGCTCAGCAAAGCAAGCGCTCCGGCCTTTACGGCAACGTGAAGTCTCCACACCCCAAAGCCGCCAACCAGGCAGTGCCGCTTCAAGTTTCGGCAGCAACTTGGCTCTTGTTACAAGCAGGGAACATTTTTTTTGAGCTACCAGCATTGGGATCTTCAGTTTCCTAATTAGGTTTTTTTGGTATCCCTCAACCCTTGACCTTATAAACCCGGGCCCAGGCAATGGGGCTGGTAGAGACAACACGACTCTTGCTGGACGCTCGAGCAGATGCTTCAAAGAAGAACCTCGGCCGCGCTTCAGGAGTTTGAGGGCCCTACCTCAAACTACCAAACCCTAC